CTTACTCAACAGATGTATCACAAAAATCACATAGAGCAACTTTTTTTACCCAAACATACTATGAGTCATTGTCACAAAATTCAATTCACAATGAACCTATACATACATTATTAAAGATATCAGGCTAGCCATTTTAATAAAGAAGTTAAAAATAACTTTTTTTATTACCAAAATTCACCTACAAAATGTGCACAACTAATATCAGCACTGTTGAGCAAACTATCAAATCATTTAAGCAATTTTTTTATATTTGTGTTCAACAAAATTATATTGTAATAGTCAAAATAACAAAACATCGTGGAATATACCGCTTTATCATGATATAAAAACGATTACCAGTATTCGTTAAGCAATGATCAAAGACCAAATTTTAAATTAGTGGCATTTTGAAGAGGTGGGCGCTTTGCCGAATGTGACCCCGAATATAAAAATTGTGCAAAAGTTGCGGGTGGGCGCTTGACCGGGCATGGGTGCTAACACGGTCGAGTATGGTAATAATTATAACCTGGCGTCGAGCACTAAAATTATTTTTTGATATTGTACTTGTGTTATTGAACTCCATTTGACCCTTTGTATTGTACATGCAAATAAATTTGTATCGATATCACAGGCAAGCCAAATACAGTACAAACACAGCTTTAGGCCACTTTGTTTTGTTATTTTAGCCTCAAAGAGCCCAACAATGAGTTTATACACAAAGTAATCAAGATTTCAGCATCATTTCAGCAAAAATCAGCATTCTTCCCTGAAGAACCAACATTTCAAACTAAGCAAATGGTGTGCTCATGCCGTGAAGTGAAGCTAGGTGATTTGGTGCCGTACGCAAGCACTGGTTGCAAAATGTCTACTTTTACAATGTTGGAAATTCAGCTGAATCAAAGACCCATTAATCCTTGCATGTTATACATCAAGTGTTTACTCCACAGTAATAATAATAATAAATTTATTGCATCCTTAGAAGTACAAATGTTCTATTGGTTTACAGCAATAAATATACAAGTGATTAAAATAATATCAAAGTATGATAACGTAAAAAATAGAAAAAAAAGAGTCAAGATATTTTATCTAAAGAAAGCTCATTTCTTAAAATGAATGATTTATGTAAAAATTCCCCTAAAAGTTTTATTATATTTCTGTCATTACTTTTCATTAAATATGTGAATTTTTGCAGGTTGGTAATGATTTCTTTGGGGAATAAAATATTGGAAATAAAATCATTTCTATCTGTTTGATATTGTGGGCAAACTAAAAGAAAGTGTAATTCGTCTTCAACTTCCTGTAATGGGCATTGTTTACAAATTCTATTTTCTAATGGGGTTTTTGGATTGGTATGTGAACACTAGGGTGGTTGCAATGCTAAGACTGCACTGTATCAGGAATTTATCTATTCTCCTACTTTTATTTGCACATTATCTCCCTCGCATCAACCTATGTATATAGTGGGTTGACCGATGCTGGTATTAATGGTGTGTAAACCAATATAATCTCCTTGAGTGTTCACATGCCCTTTAATGAAATAATGCATCAACACCATAAATGAGAACTGAAATATCAGCTGAAGATGGCAACCGATATCATAAATTCATCAGTGTCCTATCTTGCCTGTCAAAAACTCAACAGGTGTTAAGTTTAGGGGTGACCTTTCAAACCACAGAGCAAAAGTCATTACACTTACTCTATATACACATATAAATATATTTATTAAAATTGCATAGGAATAATACGAGCTTGGAACTATATACACAAGGTAGAATTATGACTTTTATTCAGTTCCAATTATATATATGCAGGTCATTCAAATTATGAATTTTACATACCTGTAGTAACCACTTTTTATAGAGCTACTATGAGCCCCAGCTCACACAGGTGAATACAACAATTGACAAAACCAAAGACTATGTTATAGGGGATTTATGTGACAAGGGAACAGACAAGATAGTGGGGCATGTTTATTAATTCTGTTGGGTGCTGTAACTTAGCATTTGAATTATATTAACTGCACAGTGGATACAATGTTGGTCAAGAATCAATGGCACATTCAGGATCTTTCAGAGCCCACAACACATGTATACAAATAAACGCATGAAAACACTACAGTGAGTGTATACATAATCATAGTCAGGTACTGACTGTAAATTTGTTGACTTGGAATAGTCAAACTGACAAATGAATTTTAAGTACAGTGTATTTTGTTTTGGTTCTGATAAACCTACCCTATAAAGTATGTTGTATTTGAATATATTTGAATTAACAAGCTCAACTTCAGACAACTAATACAACAGACTGGCAACTTAGCGTTTTCTATTGAAGCAATTCGTGACACGTTTGTTTAGGTTATTAGTTCTTATCATATTTAGTAAACATTGCAGAACAACAAGATCATCCTTAGATAAAATAACACGAGATCTATTCATATTCCAATCAACTACCGCGATACATCGTATGAAGTTGAACGCAACAAAAATAACACACCCCCAGTTTTTTACCGATAACCAGCTTATGCTGATACGCTGGAACATATCATGTATATGACATCAGCTATCCCATGTTTCAGCACCCCTGAACACAAAAACAAAAATATTAACGCCCTAAGTGGTATGATCGCTCAAAACGCAGCGATATGTCCTTCCCGAAAAAATGTCAGAAGCTTTCCGCAAAATCAAAGTTGCTCATTATATATTCAAGAACTATTTGAGGTATATACTAAGACATTCAGTTACTTGTAACTCGCCAAAATGGTGGTTGATTCTTAAAATATCTTACACAGCTGCAAAGGTCAAAATGTCCAGAACGCATCTCCCATTGTTTTAAAAAAGGCCGATTCGTTTTACGAAGGAATACGCAATTTCCAAAGAAGCGCGAAGTATGCAGAATATCCGGTGTTCGGTAAACTTCAACGGTGTCTGTCAATACTACTGAGCATGGCACACATACAATTAATCCGATTAACACCTTAAACAATAGGCATTGCAAGTCTGTTGTTATTAGTAGTCTGAGGCTCAACCAACCACTGTGACTACGCAATATCATTCAGGCATAATTAATGAACAACACCAAGCCAATATAATTCAATGTTACTATTTCACAATTGGTGAGGTCTTTATTTTCAAGAATCATAGAAAAAAAACACTCATTGGTGATCAATAGAGAAATTATTACCAAATGATATCACCAGTTTCAATAAAAGACATGGCTGAATATATATATATATATAATTAATATCATTTGTACTGCAAATGTAAAAAACATTACCTTGGAGTAATATCTATGTTTACAAAAATATGCTTTGCAAATAATGATTGATACATTCTAGACACAAAGTAACTTATTATAATTTAATTTTAAATTTAATTGCAACATAATATTACATGCACAGATATTCAGCATATTTACAAAATGGGCCATTCCAGTTTATATCTGCACCCCCCTGTTGATGAGCTTGTGTGTTTACTTCATACAGGGTATAATTTCCATGGGTGTATAAGTCATACAAAGTTTTATTTCCAAATCACCATTCACCATACAGTAATGGAAATCCAAAACTATAGTCCCTACTTATGGTGTTGATGAGTTCCTTTGTGCCACCATACAGAGTAGGATTTCTAAATATAACTCTCATCATATGCTAATTTACCAAGTTCAAAATTTTATATTTGATAATGGAAATTCAAACTAGTCCTGATTCACGGTGTTGAGTTCATTCGTGCCACCATCCTTATCTAATTTCAGTAATAACTATTTCATACTGGCCCAATTTTTTTACCATATACAGTCAGAATTCAAAGTTTTTTTAGTCATACTGTTGGAAATCCAACCTCATCAACCGACATGTGGCGAGATAAACTAAGCCATATCTTATTTAGCAGCCATAACTTTTTCCATACTCATCTGGATTTCAAGATTCTGTTTCTCCATATACAGTTGGAATTCCGGGGTATTTTCCCCATCATACAGTGCTGGAAATCGAACCACATCAACAGGGGGGTGCAGATATAAACTGGAATGGCTCAATGTGCTTAGACATTTTTGATTTATTTATCAAAATAAAAATCTTGCATAGTTTTTTTTGCAATTTAAATACTGTATCAATTTTATTCATATATTCTTGTTAGAAATGGTCATAAATGTATATGCGCAGTAATTGGTTCATTTGTACTCAAGAGAAAATGCTGACTTGGTTTCTTGTTTTTTGTTATTAAATATACATGTACATGTCCTAATTAGAACAATTATTTTAATTTAAGTTACATTGATTACGATAACAAATAAAGACACCCACCCTGGGGAGATACATGGGTTAAACCTAATAAATACCAGTTTAAGGGGGGGGGTCACAATTTGTTTTGGTTCAAATGCATTACGAATAGTACATGATTGATTTGAACACATGTCGCCACCTTTTCAGGTCTTTTTTTCATAGTACAAATATGTAATTTAAGTCACATTTAATGTTGATATAAACATCAATAACAAATCAGACCACCCATAAACACCCCCCACCTCAACCTCCAAACCCCCCCCCCCCTCCCATCCCTACGCTGCACAACCAACCCCAGGGGAAATGCGCGTTTTTCTGAATCATTTTAATTCTCATCAATTTTTCTGGAAAAAAAAAAGGCAATGGACGGAACCCAATCCAGGATGATATAAAGTGTGCCCTCTAAGCCGATAGGACACATCACATAAGATGTACTTATGTTCATTTACTGGCGCTTGATTATGCATCAGAAAATTGTAAATTGATACTTTTGATAAACAAAATTCACATTATATGAAAGAAATGCAGGAGATCAATGGCCACAACATTTTCAGTTGTGCCTCAAATCACCTACAGTCACTCATACTGGATATAAAGTCAGTAGCGAGATATATGTACGAGATATTCCGTCATTTTTCCTCCTCTAAAACACAGATCTTTAGAGTGTATGTTTAAAAACCAACTACATTGTACCACTGTAAATAGAAATATCTGTCATCTCCATGTGAACTAACATGTACTCCTAAACAAAAATAGGTTTCTCAACATCCTGTAGTTTTTTGTTGCAATTCACATCATTCAGTTCTTCTCCTAACCCAGATGACGATGTTGATGATGATGATTGTCTATTGCTCTCACTCGAAGCATTTGCATTTTGTGAGGAGTAATCAGAATGTTCACTGTGGTTATCTGTTGGACTATTGGCCATATTCTGTCTCAATGCAAAGTCAGAAGAAAAATTGCTGTCATTGTCATCTTCACAAGGTGTACTAAGTACTGTTGGTTCCACATGATGACCTGTCAGGTAAGGTGGATGCGACTCTCCTTTGGACTGAATCATCATACCATGTTGTTGATAAGTGCCAGCAGACTCTTCCATGGGATCATCTGTGTGATATGAATGGAAAGTGTTCCCTGATTCTGCTGATTTTGGTCCTGATCCTAGCATACAAGTTTCGAACTGGAGTTGTTGATATTTACTATCCGGATCTTCTTCTTCTTCATTTGATAATTCTGTTAAACTCTCATAATGAGCAGGGATATATTCGAAAGGACTTGATATTGGGAATACAGTTTCCAGACTGTTGTCTTCTTGTTGGCATTGTTCATACCAGTCTGGATTTGAGAGAACATACTCTTTCATTTTTGCTAAAGTACCACGAAATTTCCTTCCTTCCTCAGAACTGCACCTATTTTCAATTGTCCGATAGCCACCAGTTGAAGAAGCCTCAGACAAATCACACAGAAACAGATAAAGATCCTTCATCTCCTTCCAACCAGGTCCAGAAAGTTTGAAGCATTTACCAACATGCTTCAATGGATCAGGAATGTCCCTGTGTTCAGAATATGGATGAATTTGGAAATAAACGCTTGCAAATTTATTGCATCTTTGCTGCTCACGAAGATCATTGGAAATAATCACCATTACATTTTTAAATATACTGTTAGCTACGTTTCCAATTTCTTGAACAGTATCCCTTTCTTCCCATACTTTCAGAGTTCCAGTCGAGGCCACCACAACAACTTTATCAACCTCTCTCAGTGCCTCGAATATCCAATCACTCACAGAGTTTGCAACAGCAGCTGTATCCCAGAGTTTACATTTTACAATGCATCCAAACTGATCCCTCAGAAACAATGCAAATTCATGGATAAGTCGGTTGTGCAACTCGCAGTCTGCAGTATAAAGGACGAGTACCTTGGGATTTTGGGGTTCATCTGAAGTAAGAGAATTGAATGTGGTCAAGATGTTGGTGTGTCAAAGTGACAGACAAAAAACATTTAGACCCTCAATAAACTTTAAGTTCAAGTGAAAAAATAACATTGACATTATGTCAACTCAATTTTTTGAGAGATGAATTCATAAAACTTTCTTAATACGATTTAAAAACAAATTTTAACATGCTTTTTTCAGGTTTTAATTTATATTTATTTATAAATAACGAGCACATGAAAAATTTCTAGTTTTTACATAAAGAAAAATCTTAACTATACCTCTTGCTACCACTATACCAGTTAAATTGAGTTCAGATCCGGAGATGATACCTGAAAAAAGATTATAATGTGAATAAAATCTATACATTCCTAATATTATATTTATTAAATTCATTCATTTCAATGGTCAAAATAATTAATATTTTAATGATTTTTGTAATGATTTAGTATACAACAAATGTGATATTTGGTTGCAAGTGCTTCTATTGGAAGATGCGAGTCTAATAGATCAAATGGTTTATACGCAGAGGATGCAGCATCTTGTAATGTTAGATTGCATTGGAAATACATGTATATGAAAGTTGGAAAATGATTTTATTCAAAATATGGACAATATTTCTGTGTAACTTATCCTCTTAATATACTTTATTCCTGCTCAGTTATGCTAGACAGGGAACAGTAAAAGTAAATTATTTACATTTAAATATATAAATGAAAAAAATCAAAATATGATAGATGTTCACGATGAGATTACATTTACACCACTGTAATCCGTCAAATTAAAGTAAACTTAAAAAAAAACGTAATTTAGTGCTCACAAAAACTTAATTTCACATTACCACAAAATAAGGGCAAAAACACATGAAATGATAACAAGTATGTAAAAGATTTATTTTACTATGTAGCTGAAACGCTTTTCAAATGAAAACAAAATCATTGCAAAACAGATTTTTTTTATTGATGAAAGACATGATGGTCAAACAGTCAAACCTCCTTCATATTGGAATTAAAATACTGTGCTTATAACTGCACAGTTATAATTTGCCATTATGTGATATCCCAACCTAAAATAAGATTTACTGTACAGATATATGTACATTTTATTCCATGTTTGAGCAGTAATGACAATCCAAACAGTCAAATTACAGAGATATACAGATTTCAGGAATGAAATTTTCTGCAGGGCATTTTCTTCCATTAATTTTATTAATTATTGTATTTAATGTCATCATGCAAGTGGATTACCCCCTACAGCACTTACAGACCAAGTTTCATTGAAAGTTAATGAATTTTGAAAATATATATGAAACAGCTAAAATAGGTGAATTTATGGTAATTAGATAATTAATATGCACATATTGCAACTGAAAACAAACTAATCAAGTCTTTGAAATATCCCAGAGAATCTGTATATCAAGAGTAATGGAAATCATTTTTTCTTCAGATACAACTGAAAAGGTTTGAAATTGGCAAATTTGAATGGAAATTAGTTAATACACAAGTTTTGAATTCCTCTGTTATCTTAAAAACTTGAGCGCTCTGGTGTAAAAATGTCATCTGCATAGAGAGTGTGCTTGATTCAATAGCTCATCAGAAAGCAAACCCGTCCCCTTCCATTCTTGCAAGAAAACCAACTGTTGGCGCTATAACTTGAAACTCGTCTAATATCCTGCATAGTTTATAACCTGAATGAATGTACACTTCAGTGAATTACACATGTACAAAGTTCCTTGAAATTTGTTTGACGAAGGATACAGGAAATATCTATTGTGATTATCAAAAAACAATGTCATGTATTTTTAATACAAACAACTTGATCATGAAGTCCTGTTTGACCATATGCTCTTCCTGAACAACTTCAACAGGGATTCCCTAATGGAAATTCTTCGATTTAGCCACAATTCTTGTATATGTGCCAACAAAATGAATGGGGTGATTTTGTAAAACTATTATTCTAAAATTTCATTAATCTAAACTAAAGTGATCCGACAGTCACAATGTTTCAGTAGAGCACAGTCTTGCATAAACTTCATAATGGAGAAACAAATAACCTTGGCATTGTCATAGGACATGCCTATGAATTAGTAGAGAATCCTAATGTCACGAAATGATTTAATCAAATAAAGATCCACCCACGATACACATACTAAATATCAAACCAATCAGAGTGGAAGTTTTCAAGAAGAAGTCAAAAAGAATTTTCATTTTCTGAAATATTACAGAAAATTTACAGAATTGATGATATCGTCACAAAATATTTAAATCTATAATATTCCGGTAGGTCCATCCAAGGTACATAAAAGATATACCCTACCAATGTCCGAATGGAGGTGTGCATTTATTAAGACAATCCAACCATCTCACTTACATGTAGCTTTAAATAAGACACAGATTTTATAAATGAAAGTTGTTGGGTTTTATAAGTAATATATTTATAATTACAAATATGCCTTTGTTGACTTCAATTTATGTAATTTACTTTCAATAAAATACTAGTGAGGTTTGACTGTACAGGATCACACCAATGATGAATAAACTTAAACCAGGTAAGAGTTTACCGTTCATCCCAGGATTTTCTTGCATATTATTTTCTGAATAATTGTTGAAAGGACTTTTCTCTCCATTCTCTGATAAAAATATATTAGCATTCAATATTGAATACTCAAATTTCAAAGCAACTATATTTAGAAATATTGAGCTCACACTGATTAATTTACATAAGGTTATTGTCTGACAAATATACAGAAATTATATATTCACCATCGACATATGTGTGCGGGAAAGTATGAGAGAAGTCTGTTTGCTAGTCAATAATTCAGGATGCTAAATCTACATAGTACAGTCAGACAAAACCTAAAGAGAAAACTGAACTTACCTTTCCTAGTTGTGGATTTCCAATATCCAAGATATGCAATAGCAAATATTATTAAGATTACTCCAAGTAATATACCAACAACCATTGCAATAATCGACCCAATCGTGATGCCTGAATAATAAACAGTAAAGAATACAGAGTGAAATCACATTTTATAAAGACTGTTAGAAAGTGATATACAAGGCTACTAAAATGCTACCAGAAATGGTACATTTTTTTGAAGGCGTTATTTCAGTGTAAATTGTTATTTTACTATACACATGAACTGGGATTTCACATTCAGATATTACAGTTAATTGTGAACAAGAAAAGAACATCTTACAGTTTTTAAAACCAAAGATTTCAAGATACAACCATGTTTACGAAGATACTGAGTAATAATTTTATTTTTTTGTTATTTTCCATCATAAAGCAAGTCTGGTTATAGTTATATTGAATGGTCCCTTCGGAAATCAGAGCTCAAAACAATTGTACACAATATGATTTTACTTTAAACAGAATATGAGGTTATTACAAGGATACCTCAAAGTACGCACGGAGACAGTACAGCTGGAGTATCAACCAACGCGCAGCGGAGGTCGATGTGCGGCGTACTGTTTGAGTTCATACTTCGTAATAACCTTATTATTATACACCTTTTCCTTCCAAGGATACAACATGGGAGTGCCGAAATCCTAAATATTTAGAACAGAATCAGCGAACTTCTTTTTGTGGAGTCCATCCAAACTCTGGTGGCAGCCATGTTTGTTTTTATTATTAGAGGACGCTTATGCATGTAATCATTCCATATTTGGAATTTGCATTTCCTAATATAGGAGGATGAAAACACCCTGCACTATTACGGCACAATGTAACTTATGGCGTTACAATGACAGATGTATAACAATAACATTTATTACAAGGTGGAAAAATCATACTACTGGCTGAATGGTTTAATTAATAATTCCAGTATCAATTTGCTTCGGCATAAATTTGAAATATACAAAATGCAACTGTATTCCCCTGGTCAACTGCTTGAAAGCATTCAGGCTCTATATTGATAGTTCCTTCATTTCATTTTTTGACTTGACAGTTGATTTTTTTGGGGGGTCAGATTGTCTTGCAAAAACCACCTGGATATTGTGAACTATGAATTTCAAATGACTAAATAACACCACAACTAACAAAAAATGTCAAGACTGAAAAGTTTGAATCTGAATATGGTACACCAACAAAGTGTCTTTGACATAATTTTTCTGAGCCTGAAGTCATTATGCAAGGTTCGGCACAAGCTGGAATGTGATGTTCGCCAATTATTGGGGTCTGAAATCATGGCACATACAGTGCTTTGCAGCCTTTTTCAAGCAGTTTTCTCAAGTTGGTTGGTTAGCAGCCACTTCATGACAGTGTTGCACATCCATCTGACATAATGATTCAAAGTGAAATCAAATATTTTATTTTTTGAGATTAGCTTAGCAATTAGATTTGATACTTTTCATCACAATTAAACATTCACTGGTATGAACTCTATTGGACTTGTTGTAAAGTTTGGATACACAATTTTTCCTGTGTACATTCCTTTTGGCATATCTGCTGTTCTACCACAACATATTTTCGCTCTTTGCACATGTACTGGATTGGCATCAGCATTCTTTATTGTACAAAGACCAACCTAATCTCATTAACCAACCGGAAAATGTGCTCTCCACTGTATAGTTATGAGGCACAATTTGTTTGAATAAAAACTTTGCTGTTTTATTATACTCATTGCTATTAAAAGCCCTTGAATTTATGATTTACTGCCCAAAAACAGGAACAGTCATTCGTCCAGACTAGTGTGCATCTTCATTTGGTGCAATGCATAAGAGCAGATGAAAACCAAATGGTACAAACATAAAAGGATCCTATGAACTACAAATCATAGAAGGTGAAGGCGCAAGAGGCTGGATCTTCCAAAGCAGATATGCCTTGACCTATCCTCTGATAGTGAAGAACGACATGATATTTTGATCATTTTTTTGGCCATACACCCAATATTAAAATATTGCTAAATTGTCAGTATATAGTGCCTTATGATCTACTTAAGTTGGGTAATTCAGATAGATTTTGCAATAATTCTAAATCTGGCTTTACCACAAACCTACCGGGGTCATCCATTTTTGCACACTGTATTCCATCAAAAAAATAATCTTCTGTGCAATTACAAGTATAACCAGTAGTACCATTCAATAGACAATCACCTGGCGAACAGTTGTTGACGTAACAAAAATCATCTGAAATTAGAACATAACATGGAAATTGTCACTAGACAAAAAAAAAACTGTTTAAAATTTGTTAAAATCCAAAATCTGCTACAATAAAAGTCGTACTGAACAGAAAATCGATTTTGGGTATTTTTTGAAAATGTATCACTAAAAAGG